TGTATTGTTAAGGTACAGTCCCCCCTACTCTGCCACCTTACTCCAATGCAGGGTTCAGATTCTAGACTACACCATCTTCACCTCAGTGACACCTTCTCGACTCCTTGGACCAAATCAAGTCACTAGGTGAGCATCCATTAGTTTTTCCCTCCCAATATGACACATGTAACTGTTTGGGTGATTTTTTGCTTTTTATGTGTTTTTATAGTAAAATATATTATCCATTTCATTCAGTACTATGACCTCAACATGTAGCAGGGTTAGCAAAGAAAAAATATTTTTTGAATGAATGGTGTTCACGCTCTACTGTACTCATATTATGCTTATTTATATCAGTGGGAAAAAGAACACAACAGAAATATAAAACACATAATACATATTAAGTATATTACTATATGTCTGTAACATAAGCTATCATGCATCTTCAAAAGTGGTGATACAAATAGCATTTCCAATTATGGAAAAGGAATAAATTCTAATGTAATCTACACAGAGGGCATTACTGTTTATATGATAATTTAACACAATGCCCAGCTATTTTTTTGTTGCAGTTTGGCCAGGGCTGGGTTCAAACTCCCCACCCTTGGTATATGGGGCCAGTGCCCTACTTACTGAGCCACAGGTGCCGCCCTTATATGATCAAATTTTAAATAAACCACCCTTGTAATCTTGTTGAAACAGGGCAGTGACATTATTTTTTCCCCATTATCTTAGCTATATGTATATTACCAAGTTATTTTGTTTAAAAAATATAAAATATTGATTTGGAAACTTCACATAGCAAATAGATTAAGCCTCAGATTGAAAAACAGTCTAGATATCAAGCCATAAGTATGAGAACAAGGAGTTTTTGTAAGTTGCCAAAATATTACTTGATTCATATCCTGGGTGGGACCAAAAAATTTACTTTAAAATTCAGCATTTAAATATGTCTGTGAATACAAGTGTGTGTATATGAATGTGTGTGTGTGTGTAACTCTAGAGCTGAACAATTTTATACTTTGCACAATAGTTTTCCTGAATTCAATTGTGTGTTCCTTAGGCAAAGACTATGTTGAGTCCTTTGCATTCTTTGGTACTTCCAGTAGAATCTCCACTCAACTCTAATTGGGTCATATCTTTGCTTCACCTCATCATTATATTAGAAGAGTATAAAGATTCATTTCATCAGTGCTCTGATCCTGTCTCCTGTGAGTAGATTCTGTTTCTCTGTTATTTTCACAGAACTCCATCTACTACTATGATTACTGGTACTACATCAAACACATACCGGGAAAAAAGGATGTTAGATTTACAACAGTGACTATGGAAGCAATGGTTTAAAGGATTAAATTAGCACATTCAGAAGAAACACCCCTGTTCATCCCTCACTTTCATCTTCTAATGTCAGTATAGATCACAGCTTTCTTTGAACTAATTTCTGCTTCTTTGGGTCTTCTTAGAGAATGGTTGCCAATTCTTTAGGCAAGTCAGAAGAAACACAATGAAACATCTTGTTTTAGATGCTTTTTGTCACTGTCATAATCTGCACAGTGAATAGTCTACAAGTTGTTTTTTGGAGGGGAGCTGTGTAAGAAGTTGCAAGGCAAGAAATCTGACCAAAACCTTAATTAGTAAGGAAGATTAAAATCTTGCCAAGGAGTTAGTTTCCCTCAGATGCAGTGAAAACAATTATGAAAGATTTAGGTGATGTTCAATAACATAGTTAGAAACCAACATAAGACTGTGGTGGAAGTGCAAAAGATCTTCAAAAATATCTTCACTGAATTATTCTCCTAGAACATCCATTTCTCTTTAAGATTTCCCCCTTTTTCGCAACACTTGAATTGCTGCAGTACCTGCAAAGAGGCCTGCTTTAGTTTGTTGTTTCCTAGAATTAGGATGAATGAATGACCCCAGGGATAGATGGCTGTGGTTGTCATTCCCAATATTAACAGCAAATTGTTTCTTGGCACAATAAAATATAATATTTCTATGGCATAGCCTACAAAATACAAGATAAAGAGGATGATGAAAGATATCAGCACTTTCATTGCCTTCACATGAGCTTCAGTGCTGGGGTCTCTGAATCCTGTGGCGTTCAATTGCATCTTCCTATTGTGTCTCCATAGGGAAATGATTAACAGAAAAGATGTAATTAAGGATAGTGTGAGGAAGAAGATGACTCCCAGATTTAGCAAAAGTTGTTGATAAATGTATTCATTTTTATTTCTGTTGAATTGCCAGGTTGTGTTTCTTTTCTTCATTTTATCATCATGAAAAACCTTCGTGACTTGTGGAAGAGTAATTACCAATGAAATAAGCAAGAATCCTTTCAGAAGAGGAAGAATTCTACTGATTCTCATTTTACACCAGAGAAATATGTAGTGGGAAAAGTTTGCTATCTTCAGGAAATAGAAGATGTTGAGGCTGGTGGCAAAACAGACACTGGAATGATTGATAATTACCCACATGTAACCAATATATTCAATTTGGCTACTAGAGTAATAGGCATCTGGAGACAATACGTGCATTAATCCATCTATTATTATTATCCATATCAGACAAATTCTCGAAATTGCTAAGCCAGTGAGAATAAAGCCAAGAATAGTGCGCTTATTTCTGACACAGTCGTTGCAGTACACAAGTGCAATTAACCCATTCCCTAAAAATCCCAGAATGGACTCAATAATTGTAATAGCAATAAAGATGCCTTCCACTGCACTCAGCATATTTGCCGATCCTTAGTTTAGATTCTGTTACACCTATTTTAGATTACCTGCTGCAGACAAGGCATATATTGCTTGCTAGGTGGAAGAGTGATTTTCTTTTCTTTCATTATATGAAGACTTAAACGTGCCCAGGCATGCCTTGTGATGGAGTCAGAAATCTCTTCATGGAGAACCCACCGCTTACATCTACAAAATGTTGCAAGTTTAGAAAATTTTGTGTTCAGACTGAATGCCTGCTGACAACTTGTTAAGATGCAAATGAAAGTATCTGTTTCATGCATTTTATTTGTCCTCCTGGGAATATTTTGCATTCAGGAAACTGAATTGTAGAGAATGGATGTCAAACAGGTATCTACAGTATACAAAACACAACAGAAATAAAAACTAGACTTCATATTCTTTAAACTCAAATCATCCTCATTTGTATTGTTTACAGAGTTTGCATATATAAATGCAAAGGACCATATAATACATTTAACCAAGTAATAAATACTTTTAGCCATTGTACAAACTTAATCTGAATGTATAATTTAATTTTTCTTTAAAATTTAAGCTCAACACTGGGGATGGGAAGTTTCACAAATAATATCCCACAATATTGTTGCTGGGTTTTTTTACTCAGAGTTATTGCATCCACTAATGCAGAAGTTTATATTGAC